CTTTCACCTCACTAACACATAATCACTGTTTTTGCAGAGGTGCCCAGAATACAACAGTTTAGAAGTATTTTTTTTTTTTTTTTTTCAACAAGTCGGCCGTCTCTGGAAATGGGAAGTACAATGCCTGCACTTTAAAGGAGGGGTTTGGGATATTGGCAGTTTGGAGGGATATGTTGTGTATCTTTATATGTTTATGCTTCTAGACTGTTGTATTCTGAGCACCTCTGCAAAAACAGTGATAATGTGCGAGTGTGGTGAAAGTGTTGAATGATGATGAAAGTATTTTCTTTTTGGGGATTTTCTTTCTTTTTTGGGTCACCCTGCCTCGGTGGGAGACGGCCGACTTGTTGAAAAAAAAAAAAAAAATACTCAATATACCCCTCCAAACTGCCAATATCCCAAACCCCTCCTTTAGAGTGCAGGCATTGTACTTCCCATTTCCAGGACTCAAGTCCGGTTATATAAAATAACCGGTTTCCCTGAATTCCTTCACTAAATATTACCCTGCTCACACTCCAACAGCTCATCAGGTCCCAAATACCATTCGTCTCCATTCACTCCTAACACACACACACACATGCTTGCTGGAAGTCAAAGCCCCTCACACAACCTCCTTTACCCCCTCCCTCCAACCTTTTCGAGGACAACCCCTACCCCGCCTTCCTTCCCCTACAGATTTATGCACTCTCCACGTCATTCTACTTTGGTTCATTCTCTCTAAATGACCAAACCACCTCAACCCTTCTTCAGCCCTCTGACTAATACTTTTATTAACTCCACACCTTCTCATAATTTCCACACTCCGAATTTTCTGCATAATATTTACACCACACATTGTCCTTAGACAGGACATCTTCACTGCCTCCAACCGTCTCCTCGCTGCAGCATTTACAACCCAAGCTTCACACCCATATAAGAGTGTTGGTACCACTATACTTTCATACATTCCCTTCTTTGCGTCTACAGATAACATTTTTTGTCTCCACATATACCTCAACACACCACTCACTTTTTTTCCTTCATCAATTCTACGATTAATCTCATCCTTCATAAATCCATCCGCTGACACGTCAACTCCCAAATATCTGAAAACATTCACTTCTTCCAGACCCCTCCTCTCCAATCTGATATCCAATTTTTCTTTATCTAAATCATTTGAAACCCTTAACACCTTACTCTTATCTATGTTCACTTTCAACTTTCTACCTTTACACACCCTCCCAAACTCGTCCACTAACCTTTGCAATTTTTCTTTAGAATCTCCCATAAGCACAGTATCATCAGCAAAAAGTAACTGTGTCAATTCCCATTTTGTATTTGATTCCCCGAACACCCTAGCATTTACTTCTGTTACAACCCCATCTATAAATAAATTAAGCAACCATGGTGACATTACACATCCATGTCTAAGACCTACTTTTACAGGGAAGTAGTCTCCCTCTCTTCTACACACCCTAACACGAGCCTCACTATCCTCATGAAAACTTTTTACAGCATTTAGTAACTTACTACCTATTCCATATACTTGCAACATCTGCCACATTGCTCCCCTATCCACTCTATCATATGTCTTTTCTAAATCCATATATGCAATGAAAACTTCCCTACCTTTATCTAGATTCTATCCACATACATGCTTCAGTGTAAACAATTGATCTACACATTCCCTACCCACTCTAAAACTTCCTTGCTCATCCGCAATCCTACTAACAACCTATCATAAGAAATTTTTTCTTCAATATTTATTTTGGGATGCAGTCATAGCTAACAGATATGGGTATAAAGATGAGGGGATCTTACACTAATCAATAAGCAGTGTGCAGTGGTGGCATCAATGGTGGTGCACAGTTAAGTCAGCTATGGCAGTGATAACAGTGATTACCTAACTTGATGATAATATTAATGTTATCATCCTTTAAATTGTGTGTGCTGTAGTTATAATAAACAGTCTTGTTGGGATGCATAAGTCACCCCACTCACTAAAAGCCACAAAAAATCAGCTTAATATTTATAAAGCCATTATAAAATAAACCAGCTTTAAAGGTTATAATAATTACACAAATATTCTGCCTACATATATTGTTCAAACATCACTAAATTTGTTAATTTCAACAAGTGCTGTTGATTCCATAATAAAGAAGTGTTCAAATTATGTAAAACGTACCGGTCCCCCGAGCTGCCCAAAAAGATTATTTTGCTGTGTTTGCTGTGTTGAAGGTAACTGGCCAAAGAGATCCTCTGTGGGTGCTTGTCCACTCGAATGCTGCAAATCAGCCGATGATGTCCCAAAGGGATCAAACAAATTTTCCTGAGCATTCACTGTTTCTGCAGAATTAATGGAAGAATTTGCACTGGGTTCATTCCTACCACTACCAATACCACTGAGGAGATCAAAGTTACTAGGGTCTCTTTTCATGCCCTCTGAACCAGCAATGTCAAGCAAATTCGTATCATTCGCAACTTGATCAATATTTATTGTTGCACTTTGGTTTGAAAATCCCCAATTAAGTAAATCTGCTTCTTTTGAACTACTGGTATCAGATAATAGAGTAGCTTCTGGTTCACAAATTGGAGTATCTTCTTCATCTGATATGAGATCCTCTACCTCCTCACCTGCCTGAAAGGAAGTTGTTTCTGATCTTTTGCATTAACACCATTATTAATTTAATTACCCTCAAATATATCCACATTAAATATAAAATGGCACACTAAATCACATTAGTTCACTTATAATACTGTTAAAAGTGAATATTATATCAATTTACTGACAATGTACCTGATTTTGTTCTGGTTTTGCACCTCCACTGACTGCAGCCATAAAGTCTGCTCTACAAACTTGGGGAGCAACTGATCCTGATTTGGGGAGGGAATCTTGTCTCCTAGTTGCAGGCGAGCCATGTGCACTTGCTGCTAAATGAAAAATCATAAGTACTTCAATATACAAGACAATATTATTTTTTTTTTTAACACACTGGTAGTCTCCCACCAAGGTAGGGTGACCCAAAAAAGAAACACTTTCACCATCAGTCACACTATCACTGTCTTGCCAGAGGTGTGCAGATGAGACACTTCAGATGTCCCTCCAAATAGCAAATACTGTTACCTGCTATTATTACATAATATGGAGGCTGGAGGCAGTGGAGATGTCGTGTCTAAGGCCAATGTGTGATGTAAATATTATGTAGAGAATTCATAGTGTGGAAATTAGGAGGAGGTGCAGTTACTAAAAATATTTTTGAGAAGAATGAGGAGGGGGTTATTGAGGTGGTTTGGTCATTTAAAGAGGAAGGAGCAAAATAGAATGAGATGGAGAGGGTATAAATCTGTGGTGAAGGGGAGGAGGGGTAAGGGTTGTCCTAGAAGAGGATGGAGGGAGGGGGTGAAAGAGGTTTCGTGTGCAAGGGGCTTGGACATACAGTAGGCACATGCGAGCATGTTATATAGGAGTGAATGAAGACGAATGGTTTTTGGGATTTGACAAGCTGTTAGGGTGTGAGCAGAGTAATATTCTGTGAAGAGATTCAGGAAAACAGGTTAGTAGGACTTGAGTCCTGGAGGTGAGAAGTACAATGCCTGTACTTTAAAAAAGGGGTTCGGGATACTAGTTTGAGATGTTATCTGCAAAGACAGTGATTATGTGTGAATGATGGTTAAAGTGTTTCTTTCTTTTTGGGGGTTACCCTGCCTCGGTAGGAGATGGCCAACATGTAAAAAAAAAAAAAAAAGTACATGTATTGGTAAACCAATAACTGTAATAAGTCATTGCAACGATCAAATACTGAAGAAAGTACGCCACAAACATAGCTCTGGCCCTGAAGCAACAAAGAGGTTAACACACACACACAGAAGGAATAAAAACTTACAGGTGATGCAAAGACCCTATGTATGCAATAAAAATAGTGAAATCCTTGCAAGAACACTTGGATAAATTAAGCAAATGAAGAGACAGATGGATAATGAAATTTAATGTACAAAAAAAAAATACAATGGAATTTTACTTCAACTACAGTAATCATATTCCATTAATAACATTGTATATATTTACAATGCATTTACTGCAGCTTTTACATAATTTTAACACCTAGTTATTTATGGGAATTTACACACCAAATTTGTCCCTCGTTTCTTCCATCTCAATAGCTGTTGTATATGCTACATGAGGGTTGAATGAGGTTGATGGTCTTGCTACCCAGGGAGGAGGCTGAGGCGGTGTGCGGTCCACATCCGACACAAAAATGTTTACTGTCACCGTAAAACGTTCTGGATAACGATCAGGCTCTGTTACATCATCCAATTCTTGCCTTAAACAATAAAAAGAAGCTAATTAAAAAAATCACATGTAAATAAAAAAGAAATCAAATCTTTCTTTCCTCCCCCCCCAAAAAAAAATTCATTACCTTAATATCTTAGGTATAAACAAGTCTATATGGATAAGTTCTACAAAATTAAGCAGAGGGCAATGAAATTTGCACGTATACCAAGAAAAGTTGCACTGATATCTGATCATCACCTACCATGACAGGTAGTAATGAAACTTGGCCATCACAATAAGGGTCATCCCTACCTTTACAGATTAAAGCGAAACTTAACCATCACAATGAAGTTCATACCTACCTTGGCCATCACAATAAGGTTCACCTCTACCTTTACAGATTAAAGCAAAACTTAATGAAGTTCACACCTATTTTGGCAATCACAAATGACACATCACTTCTGATCTATAATTACATTGGGAAAGATATAAACACAATGGGTTTTACAAGTAAGTTCAGAATCAAAAATAAATCAGAAATTCTGATCACAAGAAAAACTAACGTAACTATATAAGCTTATCCAATGCAAGCCAAACAAACAAACCTACCACACATGCATAAAAGAAACATTAAAAAATTATGCATTTTTTTTTTTTTCAACAAGTCGGCCGCCTCCCACCGAGGCAGGGTGACCCAAAAAAGAAAGAAAATCCCCAAAAAGAAAATACTTTCATCATCATTTAACAT